CCACGCTGGCTCAGCACTGCAGATGGGTGCATGGATCAGCTCCCCAGGGAGGCTCAAAACCTCCACTGCAGCCTCGGGGGATTTGCACACTCAGGGTTTGATAGGAATGAAAAAGGAGCCCATTATGCATCTTCCACAACTGCCTCAGGGATCTGTGGGGGTGTCTGAGCCCCTGGCAGTCCCAATGCTGCAGGACCCAGTATAGTTTGGAAAGAGAATGGATTCTGCTGGAAGGTGGGAGATGCTAAACATTGCTCACCACAAGCAGCTCTCCCAGCTCTTGCTCTCCCAGCTCTTGAGCGTCTCCAGGCTTGTTAAACAAATAAAGGCAAGTCCAGCCCAATAATGCAAACAGGACTCTGACACGTGTGAATGTCCCACTTCCCCTGTGATCCCAGGGAATCCCACCAACCCACTGTGATGGGATGGGGCTGCAGGGGGATGGAGCAGCCAGCACCAGTTGCCTGCCAGTGTCTGGGAACAGGACACCAGTGTACTCCTGCCTCACTGGAGAGAAATCCCTTCCTGCCTGCTCCAGCTTGGCTCAGCATCCTGCCCAGCATCTTCCCACCCTGCTTCACGGGTGCCTGGCCAGGGCAATCTCTTAACCCACTTGCCTTTTCCACTGGGCCCTGCCCCCAGCTGCAAGATTTCCTGCTGCTACCTGTTGAGAAACTGTCTGGGGCCTTGTGGCAATGTCTCCCCATGTCACCCACTTCCTGCTCTAGTGAGAAGAGAAACCACTAGTAGAGAAACCGCCAGTGGTAACTGTGTGTGAGCTGTGCCCTGAGCCTGCTCCCCAAGACTGTGGGGAATCTTCAGCCAAGGCTATCCCCCAGAGCCCATGAGGTATCACCCGCTGGGGATGTCTTCCAAAATCTTGTGGGGCATCTCCAGCTTCCTAAGCTCCTTCCATCACTCCTGCCAACACAGTGAGCAGGCAGTGGTCCCATAGCATGAGAGGGCTCCATCCTCTTTGGGGACCACACATCCTCAGCCCCCAAGCCTGGCAGAGGACTCACCTGAGCTGCATTAACAACTCAGGTGAAATCAAACTAAATCCCTTTTATTTTTCCCAGCCCATGGAGAGGTCTGGGAGCAGAAAGCAGAGCACAGACAGTCTTGCTAGCCCTGAGGCACCACTGGCACTGTGACACATGGGAAAGCAGGCATGTTCTCCCTGCATGGGGCAGCACCAGAGCCCAGCACAGGGCCACTCACAAGGGACATGGGATGATACAGGGGACAGCAAGCAAGAGAGCACAGGGATACAGCATTGGCTGTTTCCACCCAAGTAATCACAGAGGTGCTGGAGTGATGTTTTAGCCAGGCTGGGATGAGAGCTGTGCCTGCAGTGCATCAGCCCAACCAGGGGAACAAGCACAAGGCTATAAAGTCCAACAGGAGACACAGCTCAAAACCACTGAATCCTCAGCAAAACCCTGCGTGTCAACAGCTCAGTGAGGCACCAAGGTCTTCCTGGGGCTCAGCATCAACACTGGGAAGGTTCCACTGCACCAACCTCTCTGGGAACAGGTCATAAGATCTCCCCAGAAGGATTTTCACACTGGGGACACCAAGAGGCTGCTGCCCAGGAAGCCATCCACATGCCTGTTGTAACAACAAACACGTCTTTGCTGGGTAAATAAAGAGCAGCATTATCTCCCAGAGCGTCTCTTAGGAACCGCTTGGGGCATGAAAGGTCAGCTGTTTCTCAATTCCTCACCTTTCTACATCACTTTGTTTGTGCAACTGCTCACTCCCACGCGTGTTTAAGGCCGACATTCCTGAGTTAGGAAGCATCTGTGGGGACTGACTGCCAAGATAAAGCCCCCAGCCCGGGAAGGGCTCTGCTATCTCCACTCCACAGCAGAGCCTCAACACACTCAAAGCAGGAGTGACCACCACCAATACCTGCAGTCTCAGCCCCAAAAAACACCCTCTGCCAAGGGTTTTTGTTGTATTTTGGGGTGGTTTAGTGACAATCGCCCTCAGTCCGGTCCTGGACTCAGCTGCACGTCAATGCTGGCCCTGCTGCTTTTCTCACCCCGTTTTACCACTCCTGCAGCACAAGGATGGGCTGAAGGGCTACAGGACTCAACGGGCTCAGTTATGGGTCCAAGCAGCCCCGTGTGCCCACCTGCCCCTGCCTGTCACTGAAACAGCTGGGAGACAGGACTATTAAGAAAAAAAAATATTTAAAACAAAAAAGGCAAAGCAGTCGGGCGCGGCAGGACCCGGGGCTTCTGGGGAGCTGCGCTTAAAGCAAAGCAAAAAAAGAAAGGAAGAATCGAGATCGAAACCACACACGACGCCCAGGGCAGACGCGGCGGCAGCGGCTCCCGCTCGCTCGCCTGTAAGGCGGCGACGACCGCGGCCAGTCGCGACCCCTCCTCCTCGGACAACAGCCTGTGTCCCGAAAACTTCCCAGCCTCAGTCCCCCGGCCGCTCATTTACCCGCTGCTCGCCACCGCTGGGCTCCCGCGCCGCGGGCTCGGCCGGCACCGGGGCCGCCTGCCCACCGACCACCGGCGGCTCCGCACCCGCCCCGCCGCCTTTCGCCAGCTGATCCTCGGCCGTCGAGTCAACGACGAGGAGGCTGACGGCGCCGGCGGCGGCACGGATCCGCTCCACCACCTGCTGATGGCTTTCCCTCTCCACGTTCTCGCCGTCCACCTCCAGGAGCCGGTCCCCAGCACGCAGCCCCGACTGCTCGGCCGGCGAGCCCGCCTCCACCAGCCGGATGAACTGGCCGGGCTTGCCCTTCTCGCCGTGCAGGTGGAAGCCGTACCCGTCCGGGCCGCGCTCCAGGCGGCACAGCCGGGCGGCGGGGCCCGCGCCGCTGCTCATGGCGAGGGAAGCGGCGGCAGCAGCAGCGAGCCCGTCCCGCCAGCCGCGCTCAGCGCACTGCGCGGCACCGAGCCCGCCGCACGCTTTATATAGGGGGCGGGGCGAGGAGGCCGGCGGCCGCCAATGGGACAGCGCGATGGGATGATGCCCGCCAAATAAGGATATTTTGTAGGCGTGTCTATGTAAATTAGGAGGCGTTGTTATGCAAATATATGTGGGGAGGGTATGCAAATGAGCTCTCTTCCCGTGTGGGGCGTTCTGGGCGCGGCGCCTCCGGGTCGGGCCGGGTGCCCTCAGCGGGCCCGGGCCGCTCCCCGCTGGGGTCCGAGCGCTCCCCGGTAATGCTGGGCCGCCCCCCGCAGCCACCTCCGCCTCTCTCTGCGCCTACCCGAGCGCGCCGCGGCAACTCCCGATCCTCGCTGAACACCGGAGCTCGGCTCTGCCACCGTCTCGGACACAGCCCCCACGGCGGGACGCTCCCGGCTGCTCCCGCTCCGCCGCACACACCGGGTGCCCTCCCGGGGAATGTCCGTCCTGTACCCTCGCACAGTCCTCGAAGGGTGCAGTCGGTCCCAGCGCTGCTCCGACGTACAAGGTGGAGGGGTGCTTGAAGCTTCGACAGTAAAATAAAATCGCCAAATCGAAATTTCGTGGGAAAGTGGGCCGGGAAGAGGGCAGGTAACTCGCTTTGCAGTGGAAATGAGATCCCAGCCCTGTTCCCCCAGCCGCCTCTGAACCTTGCTCAGCACCCTAGAGCTGGGGGCCCGAGTCGGGGGAGATGCAGGGAACCCCAGGGGATTGCTCTGCTCTGGCTCCGTGTTCTCTGCTCATGGACTGAGGAGCAGAAGTAACTGCAGGGGGTCATGAGCGTGTGAAATCCTGGGCTTTGGGCTCAGTCAGGGCAGAGCAAGGCAGCAACAAGCCGGGGCTGCTCCAGCCGTGCCGCAGGGCTGCTGGTGCCACACAGAGCTGCTGGGATTGTCCCAGAGAGGCTTGCACAGACACCATAGGTGTCTCCCAGTGCAGGACCTGGGTGAAGTTCCTGGACACAGGTCCTCAGGACAGCCAGGATCACGTTAAACCGAGCTGCAGACAGGCAAGCAAGGAGGGGACAGCTGTATGCCATGGGACATGTCTCTCACAAAGTGCTCTGCCCCAAAACCCTGCTCAGGGACCTCAGCGGCAGAGGAACCCCCGTGTGCTCAGAGTGGCTGTGCTGCAGGTCCGTGGGACCCAGCTGGGAGCACAGGATGGGCTCATTTGTTTCCTCCACTCGGCTGAGCATTCGCCCGCAGCCGCTCGGCCCTGAGAAAAGCGGCAGAGAGGAATCCCACGGAGGCCAGCAGCAAATGCCTGGAGAGAGGAAAACCAGGGCAAGCGTGTTGTGGTATGGCCCCAGAACCAGGGGATCTACTGCCTGTGTTACAGCCGTCCCCTTGGCAAGGGGGGTGTGAGCACCACAGCCCCACAAGCGAGTTTCTTGCAAGGGCAGATGCAGAGCACATTTTGGGTGCCCTGTGCTAAGTCAGGAAACAAAACCCAGCTCCAGCAAGGCTGGTTTGAGCAAGGGCCCGTGATAAGGAAGAAAGGCAGCAGCAAAGGAAACAGCTGAAGCTGCTTTTGGTCCAATAATGCCTGTGGGACCGCAGGGCACAGGCAGGACCGTTGCGCCCCAGCTGCCTCCTCCTGCCCTTTGCATCTTGGAGTGAAGTTAAAGGAGCTCAGGCAGGAGGAGGGAAAGAGAAAAGAGCCAACGTCTGTTTGTGTTGAAGCCACCCAGCATTTTTTTGCAGACATCAGCCGAGCGGCAGCAGCAATGCCTTTGGTGGGAAGACAGAGTTATTTGGGGAATGCTGGACTCCGTACCATGAGAACAGCAGGGGAGGAGGTTGGTTTTAATTTAACAGGCCATGTTTACTCTTCCCCTCTCACCTTTGGTCTGTCTGAAGTGTGCAATGAAAGCCTCCCCCCACCAGGGAGGAAGGGGCCATGGGTGCTTCCCCCTCCTCCCGGCTGCTCCCAGGGCCCCCCGGCCTGGCCGCTCTGCAGTGCCTGTGTGCAGCAGCCTCCCACGTTGCAGACCCAGGGCAGGGATTTCTCACGCAATAAACAATCATACAGATGCAAAGCCTCAAAAATACTCAGCTTTAATCTGTAAACTTGCAAAGAAGAGACCCTGGGGCAGAGCAGAGGTGAAGGAGGCACCGGGGCAGGCAAGACACGAGCAGTCAGGTGCAGGGCCAGGGAAGATGCTGATGGGGACAGATGTGGTGGACAGTCCCTGACTCCTACGTGCAGGAGTGCCATACCCTCCACAGCTGCTCTCTGCATCAATGCTTCAGCTACACAACCAAATATTCCCTGACCTCTCTGGATAGTGTTCAGGGGAGTAGACAGAGTGCTCGAGGTAGCAACAGAACTGGGCTGAGCACTAGGGATGTTCCTGAGCCCCAACAGAGCAGTGTTTGCTGGCTGAAGGCTCTCAGGCATCTGGTTTGCAGAAAATGGGTTCCAGCTGCTAATTGCCAGCAGCAGGAAGGCATAGTTGTATTACATGGGCAATTTTGGGGGAGAACCCAGCCTGGCCTGGGAGGTGGTGGGGCTGGACCATCACCCATGCCACCATGGGCATCTCCTGCAGGAGGCTGGAGTGGTTTAGTCTGTAGGCATTGAAATGAAAAAGGCTTTTCTTGTTAAAAAAAATAAATTCTCTAATTTCTGTGGCTACAACATGGAGGAAGTAAAGTTTTTCCAAATTGCTGTGTGTACCAGAAATGCCCCAAGCACTGCTTGGATGCTCCCAGGGGAATTTTACTTCTCACATCAGCTGTGTGGGCAGGGAGCAGGTTTGGCTGGACCCTTCCAGCCTTTCCCTCAAGCAGCACCAGGATACAATGGGGACATCATTGCCTTTGTGGTGGCAGGAGGATAAAAGCCATTGGCAACAACTGCAGAAATGAAGAGCCACAGCCGAGTGAGCGTGGACATCAGGGTGTGGGGCAGCCCAGGGGGGCAGAGTAGAGGTTCCTTGGAGGGAAGCCAGAGCCTGGCAGCACCAGGGACACTGGGACTGGACCAGGCCCTTCCAGTTGAACAACAGCAGTGCTGTGAGCAGGAATAGCTGCAGGGGAGGACAGGACTGGGGGCTACAAGGGGGCTCATCCATGGCACAGCCCCTCCAGCCACTCCAAGGGTCCCTTGGTGAGGTGTGTGGCTGTGGCCTGCACCCTGCTCATGTGATGGAGGTGATGGATCACCACGGCTCGCTGCCCAGGCTGGCAGTCACCACACCATAGTGATTTCCACGGTGGCACACAGGTCATTGCTCTGCAGGGCAGCAGGATTTGAATCTTGGCATCAGGACAAGGGCTCTCCTCATGCACTCTGCTCCACTGTACTGCCCCATCCACCTTGGCTTGTCAGAGCTTGGTTCCCGCCAGTGCTTGAGGGCAGGATTGGGCCTTGCTCTGCCTCCTGCTTGGGCCCCCAGGCCTGCCAGCTCCTCTGAGCTACCCTCAGGAGAAGGCACAGCAGCTGGGTTTCTTCTTCTGTGACTCGATGTAATCATGGATCTGGAAGCGGGGCTCATCCAGCGACTGCACCGCACGCTGCTTCAGCTCCCTAGAGCAGTGGGGCTGTTTTACCCCTCCCACACTGTGGCGGTGTGTGGGAGGGGGTGGGGCTGCAGGGGACACCTCCCTTGCTCAATCCCCTGACCCCAGGTACTCACTTGGCAATGGCCAGGAAGGCCAGCTCCACGTTCATGCCTGTCTTGGCACTCGTCTCCATGAAAGGCACTCCGTACTCCTGCAAGAGCAGCACGACCCCATCAGTGGCTATCCCCAAGATGCCCCCCTGGCCCTCTGAATCATCCCTGTAGCTTGGACAAGGCTTGAGGGTCATCCCTTCCTTGCCTTCCCCAGGTTTTGCATGCAAGTGACTGCTATGCTGCCCCTGCAAGAGCCAGGTCTGGGCACTCAGAGGGGATGGCATGGCTGCATGGGAACCCTGAGTGACAAGAAATTGTCTGGGGGTGCTGAAGTCAGGTTAGACCCTGGCACAACTCACCCTGGCCAGTGATGCTCCATCCTCTGTCCTCACAGCCCTCTCACTGCTCACATCAGCCTGCAAAGGGAAGGAAAATGTTACCACACACCAGGCCAGCTGGCACCCTGAGGCATCTGGCAAACCAGCAGTGTGGGGTGTTCAGGGGCAAGGAACAAGGGGCATCATGGATCCAGAAGTATCTACTGCCTGGGGAATCTGGGTTCTGTGGAATATCTGGGACCCAGTAGAATTGAGAATATCAGAGGGCACCTGGGACCTGGGGACACTGAGGACCTGGGGCAGTACCTGAGGGCATCCAGGACCCAGAGAGGCTCTGGTACCCTGCTGAGCATCAAGTACCCAGCATCATCCAAGATCAAGGGGACATCCAGTCCCAGGGGGAAATCCAGTTGGGCACTGGGCACTCAGCAGCATCCAGGACTCCTAGAGAGAATCTGGGACCTGGTTGGGCCTCTAGGGCTTGGGGTTACCTGAGGTACAAGGGGTGCATCCAGGCCTGGGTGGGCATCCTGTAGTCAGCAGTATTCCATACCAAAGCATCCCATATGAGGAGCATTCCGTACCTGGAGCCTCAGCCTCGTGCTGCCACCCGCTGGCTACCAGGAACACCGCCCTCCCCGACCCCCCAAAGCCCTGGGATCCCCTCGGGGCCTAGCTGAGCCCAGAAAGCGGCAGAGCCCAGCGGAGGGTGTGGGCAGAGCTCCATCCCTGCACAGCCGTGGGGATGGCAAGGGCATGGCAAAGCACAGCAAACCCCAGGGTGGACGGGGACCCTGCACACACCTTATTGCCCAGCAACATGATGACCACGTCCTTCTGGGCATACTCATGGATCTCCGTCAGCCAGGCCTGTAGGGCAGCAGGACTGTGTCAGGGTGAGGGGCACTCCTGTCCCTCCCAACTCAGCCCTTCACCCCTCAGTATCCCACTCCCTTTTCTCTCAGGCCTCACACCCCCTCAGCACCCCCATCTCTCCCCCACGAGGACAGGGATAATGACTTTTCTTGGCACAGGAATTATTCCAGCATCACAGACGAGCAGTCCTGAAAATGCCCCGCCCCATCTCCAAGGGCACTAGCTCACATCCTTCACAAACCACGTTTTCCCCCTCAGGCATTCACCTTAAACAAAACTCACCCAGCCATGCAGCACCCAGCCAGGTGCCCTGGGATGAGCTCCCAGCTGGCTGGGTCTGGCCAGAACAGCCAGTGCTTACGGGTAAAACAGGCTCCCAACTGCCCCAAACACCCAGACGCCAAGCAGGGCACCCCAGTCCCTGGGGAGAAACACTCCCGACCCATGGTGGGACTCACGCGGATGTTGTCGAAGGACATCTTGCTGGTGATGTCGTAGAGCAGGAGCAGGGCTGGAGGAGAAGAGGCAGAGGCATTGCTACACTGCAGGGATGTGCTTTGGGTGGTCTCCCCATCCCTGCTGGACCCCAAACTCACCTTGGGCATCCCGGTAGTAGGCATGGGTGACGCTGCGGAAACGTTCCTGTCCTGCTGTGTCCCAGATCTGCTGAGAAACTGCCCTGGTGAGAGCAGGGAGAGCAGCCTCCCCAAGCTGGGTCTGCTCCTGTGGCTCACAGCCCTGCTGGATCACCACGCTCAGCCTGAGGTGGGTTTTCATCTGGAAATTTATTCCCCCCTCCCAAAGCTCACCTGCAACTTCACCTTCACACCATCCACGACCACCACTTTGTTCTGCAGAAGACAAGGAGAGCACGTTTATCAGCCCAAAGGTGCATGTGCCAGCCAGCCCTGGTGCTGAGCCAGCATTCCACAGCCCCTCAGCTGCTCTCCCCAGACCAGTGGGATGAAGTCAAGCCTGTAGGGCTGGACGTTGAAGCCTCATTGCTACAAACCATGATCCTGCCTGTTTGGCAGCTACAGGGACATCCCAGAGCAGCAACCCCTCAAGTCAGGGTGAAGAACAGAATCAGCAGAGACAAGATCCCAGCCTGCCTTGGATCCAGTGCCTCGTCCATCTCCTACAGCCAGAGTCCCTGTCCCGAGGCTCCCAAGTCCCCTAATGATCAGTTAATGACATTGGCTGTCCAGAAAATCCCAGGAACCTGCTCTGGCTCCTGCCAGGAAACTCTGGGATTGCAGCAGCTCCTGGGAAGTTGGCAGAGCTGTGGAAGTGGGGAGGCATGGATGAACCACACATAAATTTGCATTTATTAATAACACCTTGGTGTGCTTTTATGTTTGCTCACCAAAGAGCCCTGATCTTTCCGACGGGACTCTTCAGCTCCATGTACTCAGGAACTGCTGTTGCACTAAAAATTTAACCCGTTTGCAGTAATTTAAGGGCTTTAAATGCTACAAACTGCCTGGGCACACACACTGGGTGATGCTGGGTGTCCCACTCGGGTTTCCTTGCTGGTGGAGCCTTGCTTGGTTCTTAAAGGAGGTAATAAACATTGAGCTGGAGGGGCTGCATGTAGCACACAGCCGTATGCAGCACAGCAGGAGGAAATCTCCTGGGTCAGGATGGTTTGCAGCCAGGCTGGGCTGGTACTGGGAAAGGAAAGAGGCATTTCCAGCTGAGCTGGGAATGCAGCTATTGAGGCTTAAGCAATTTTCATCTTGGAAGCGCAGGCGCTTCTCTCCAGAGGCCAGAAAAAAAGAAAAGCAAAAACTACTGAAAAGCTATTTAAAGACTCTTAAAGAATCATACTTGGAGTGTGGAAAGAAAAGACCCCTATAAATAATTTGGTTTCCTGGAATTGTTTGAAATGGAAATTCAGCCCATGTGGAGATGGCAGCATTTGAGCAAATGGGCTGGATAAAACAAAAACATGCCCTAGGAGACTCTGGAGATTACCTCAAGCAGTGAGCCATGAGCTGCTGAAGGGGACACTTGCATGAGGCAGAGCAGGCACCTACAGGCTGGCAACATCTCTGGGGACACTGGCAATGAGCCCAGCAGTGGGATGCAGCAGATTTTCCTTCTTTCATGACTTTATCATAAGGACAGGCCCCTTCAAACCAAACCCACAGTTCTCCCTCTCCCCCAGCCCTGATCACCAAGACCCGAGTTCCACCAAAAGCCAAACACAGCCAGGGCAGCAGAAGTGGCAGAAAACTGGAGCAGCTGCAGCTGTGGTGGCAGAGGAAGCACTGACCACACACAACACAGGTCTGTGGCTGTGGGCAGACCCCTGCCCTGTGACTTCCTTCCTGCTCTGTCCAGTGCTGCAAACAGCTGTGCCTCCCTGGACACCCTTAGAGAGACCCTGAAGCTGAAATTTGTTGAGCAGAGAACAGCATGGGGGTTTGAACAGGATCTGGTAACCCTAACAACTTCTCAGCAGCCCATTTCAGCCCTTTCAAGGCATGAAATTACAGCAACCTGTGTTTGTCACCTCCAGCTGTTGGCTTACATGGTGGAGTGTACTGCCCACCCAGCACACACCCCCAGCCCATGAACACAGGTGGGATGGGATAAACCTAGACTGTCTGCTGATTTAAAGTAAGAGGTGACAGTACCTTGTCTGTCTGTTACTGCTCTCCCAGGGAGGGGTGTTCAGCAAGCACCTGCTGCTGGTTGGGAGACAACTGGGGGTACAGAGGCTGGAACCCCCTGTTCCCCTTCCCCAGCACCCTGTCCTGGCCAAGGTGTGGGTCAAGGGAGGTGAGGGGCTGGCAGTCACGGTGGTCTCACCCGGAAATCTATGCCCACGGTGGCTATGAACGTCCCGGAGAGAAAAGCCCCGTCTTTGAACTGGAGCAGGAAGCAGGTTTTCCCCACGCCCGAGTCTCCAAGTAACATCACCTGCAAGATGGGCGCAGGGAGAGATGTGAGCAGGACAAAGAGGGAGCAGCACCCCTGACTGGTGCTGAGCCCTCCCCAGTTCCTTCTCTCCCTTCGTTTCTTTCCCCAGGGCTGGTCCTGATGGGTTTGGGAAGCCCCATGGGAGCTGGGTGTGAGATGGGAGCTCTGTGGGTGCAGCCAAGCGGTGCCCCAGGGCAGCAGAGCAGCTCCCAGCCATGAAAGAGGGGGAGAGCTGGTATGAAAACAAGTACTGCAGCAAGAAGAGAAATCTCCTAGCCAGCCCATGGCCATCTCCCAGCCCAGGAGGCTCCTAGAACAGCCACAGCTCCCAAATGTGTGGAGCCACCTCCACCCACGCTTTGCCCCTGAGCCAGGTGTGCCCAGCCCAAGGGCTGATGCATGGCTTGGGCAAACCCTGCATGTCCGGGACTCTCTCCCTGTTGGTGCCTGCTGCAGACACCAAAGCAAACACGGTGCCTTTCCCCTCCTGCTAAGCAAACAGGATCAGCCCAGGCCCTCCAGCTGCTCCAGCACTGCCGGTCTCAGGCAGGGAACAGCCAGGACCAATGCTGGGCTCCAGAAGCACAGCCTTTCCTGATGCTGTGTTCTTTCTGCCTACCTGCAGCAACCTGTTCCTGCCCAGCAATCATTAACCTGACTGCATCTGGCCCCTTATGAAAAATAGCAGTGAGCAGGATTTCAGCAGGAAGGTCCATCCCAGCACATCCACCCTGTGAGCATGCTGGAGCTCACACAGTAAATCTCTGCAGCCTCACTGCCTCTGAGTCAGCCCAACACAGCCACCTTCCACACAGATGGCACAGCAAATGCCAAAGCTGGTGGCCAGAAATGCTCTGTCTCCTGCTACCACTTTGCTGGTCAAATCCTTCCCCAGGACTTGTGGGGAGTTGAGAACGCTGCTCAGTTCTGCCTACACCTCGTTCTAGACCAAGCTGAAAACTGGTTTTCTCCCTCAGACATGGAAATTGCCCTCCACGGAGAGGAGTCAGAGAGAGGAGGATAAAGGCAAAGGAATAAAAGCAGTTTAGAGAAAGTGGCAGCATGCAGGACCACTTTGGAACCGGCTCAGTGAGGCAGCAGGGAGTGTCGGGGCTGACACCATCAGTGCTGAGCTCAGCCTAGGGCTGTATATTGAATTTTGAGGGTAAAAGGTTCATCAGTCCTGTGCCTCTCCTGAGCTGCTCGGATGAGGAAGGTGCTTCCTGGGGCAACCCTTGCCTGGGCTGGGCTGGGGAAGAGGGGGACGCTCAGGAAATAGGGGTCCCCCCCGTGCCCCAAGGCGTGGCGGGGGTGCAGAGACATTCACAAGCGCCATGCTGCGGTGTGGGTGAAGAGGGACCCTGGGCTGGATCCAGGGCTCAAATGCTGCTCCCACCTCGGAGCCCTTGGGGTGCTGCGATCGCCTGCATGGGGTCGTGCTTCCCCTGCCCTGTGTCACGGGGGGCATTGCTGCGGGGCTGGCAGGAGCCCCTTGCCCTGGAAAAAGTCTGACGGGCTTTCAGGGTTAGGGTTCGGCCGTGCTGCTCTGCCCCCGGGAGCCCCCCAAAGCCCGGTTGCTGCAGCTGGTCCCTCCTATTGCCGCTGCTGGGCAGGGCCAGCCCCGGGGCACAGACCGCACCCCGCACTCCCGGAGCAGGGACCCCATCCCCAATCCCTGCACCTGCTGTATCGGGGCCTCTCGGGGCAGGGACCCCCATCCCCAATCCCTGCACCTGCTGTATCGGGGCCTCTCGGGGCAGAGAAGGGCTGGGGGGATCGGCTGGGGCTGTCGCCTCCTTCCCCTTCTCCTCCCTTCCTTCCCCGTTTCGCTGCCGCTTCCTGGGCGCGATCGCAGCAGCGGAGGAAGAGCGCGGCCCCCGGGACCCTTCCTAAACCCCTCCTTGTCTCCTCCGAGCCGGGGGGAGGACCAAAACCTTCCCCTGAGGCAGAGCTTGGAGGGTCCATCCCTTCTCACCCCGTGCCGCCTCCCACCTTGCCGGACAGTTCGTAGTCCTGGGGCAGCGCCAAAGGATCTCCGCTGCTCCTCGGGGGTTCCCCGCTTCTCCTCGGGGGTTCCCCGCTGCTCCTCGGGGGTTCCCCGCTCCCCTCCGGGGTCTCGCTCCCCTCCGTCCCATCGGGGCCGCCCATGGTCCGTCCGCCGGGTCCCGGCGCCGCGGGGCCAGCAGGAGCCGCTGCCCCACCCGCCTTCCTCCTCCTCTTCCTCCTCCTCCTCCTCCCCGGCCGATGCCACCCCCGAGGCCGTGCTCCGGCCGCTTCCCTGCCCAGCCCGGGCACGGGATGAAGAGGAAGAAGCTGAAGGGTGGAAACCTGCCCCACTGCACCCCACACCGGGGGCCCCGCGGTGCTGGGGTTTGCTAGCGGCTCGGCCGCGCTGGACGGCGGGCAGAACCCCGGCACATCCCCTCGGACACATCGGTGGGGAGAGGAGGAGCTGCTCACCCCCACAGATCAACAGACTCCTCACAGAGTGTGGGCACGGAGTCCTCGGTGCTGCCAAATCTCACCCAGCCACGCCGGGACAGTAGGGGTGGCAGCTCCCACTCCCAGCCCAGCAGCCCACCCCGGGGTGAGAGGTTTACCCCACCTGCTGCAGCCCCAGCGGTGCTGAGCTGGGCCCCGGGTGAGCACCGTGGGGCAGGGAAGCCGGGAGGGAAGCAGAGCAGCAGCTGTTACGTCGAGCCGGTTCAATGGTGCCTGCGTCTCACCTGGGCTGCCAGGCCTCCCTCTACCCACGGCTGCTCGCAGCCCCCTGCATCCTACACCAGCCACTGGGGCCCAGTTCATACTGCACTTCATTTGGGAAAAGCCCAAGCATGGGAATGTGGGAGAAATCCCTGGAGACGGATGTTGTGTTACCCAAAACTCCGTCCCATAAAACCCCATACGAGTCCATGCACTATAGCTGCCCAAGGTCTTCAGCCTTTACAGGCATCACTTCATGAACAGGAGCCCTGAGCCCTCCCTGATCTATTTTCCCTGGAATATCTCATCTCTCCCACATCTGGGCTAATCTCAGGGCCATCCCATCTCTCCCATCCCTGCTCACACCACTGGGATTCCAGGATGCAGGGCTCCAGCGCAGAGCTGTGACCCCGCTGCTCTCCAGGTGAAGGCCAGGTGTGGCTGCAGGAGGTTCAGCGGCAGAGATGCCCTCTGGAATGGCATCCATGTCCGTGCCTTCTGGGGCTGACGACTCCTGCAGCAGCCAAGCCTTCCTCTGCCCCCTGGGAAATAGAACCTGTATTTCCAGTCCTGTAACTGCATTCAGACCCAGCAGGGGGATTTATGGTTTATGTGTGCTCTTTGGCCAGGAAAGTGCCCAGAGATGGAGGATGGAGGCAGTCAGAGCTCCTGGAAGTGGCTGAGCTTCCCTGCAGCAAGATGGGGAGGGGGCTGGAAGGATATGGCAAACCATGCTGGAGCTCAGAGTGTTGCCTAGGCAGGAAAAATGCCTGGCTGAGCATCACTTCCACACACTGGAATTTGCTGTGGGAGAAATGAAGCAGCTGGAAGGTGGCAGAGATCAGTGGTGTGGCTGAGCCTCCTCTGCCTGCCCACAGCTCAGCAGGGGCACCCTTGGCTGCTGGTCCCTGGCTGCTTGGCCCCACATCACCCCCACTGGTGCCACATTTTCCTGCTTCCTTGGCCTGGACTAAAAACAAAATTCCTTTGGGTAATCACATCCCCATGGGTACCAGCCCTTTGCTGAGTTCCAGCCTTTTCACAATGCTGAAGGGATGACAATCTCTCTGGAATAAGGTCCCCAACCACTGTCCCTGTCCTGAGCTCCCCCAGGAGAGGGGACACACACATCAGAGTCACTTGAGACCCCACGGCAGCTCTGCAAATAGCTCTGGATGGCAGCTGAGTGCTTTTCCCAGGCACCATCACCATCTGCCTGACTTTTCACCAGGGCCCCGGGCAGGACACAAGCAGGACACAGGCTGGCATCTCCCTGGCAGATCAGGGCAGCTCCAAAGGCAGCCCTTTGTGTGAAGCATTAGGCTGCACTCAGACATGGCCCCACCAAGGGTTTTGGAATATGGAGCTTTAGGCATCCTTCATCCCTCCCAGCAGTCCAAAGCACACAGCCAAACCAAACTCATCATCCAGCAACACCAACACAAAGTGTCCAGTTCTCAGTGCTTAACACAGATTCATAGATTCTGATTTCCCAAATAAAGCTGCTCCCCAAGGGTGAGTGCACAGTCCAGGGACTGGGCTCTTACCGTAAACCCAATGCCCACGGTGGCAGAGAAGGAGCCAGGAATGAACTTGCCCTGGTCAAACTGGACCAGCAGAGACGTCTTCCCCACACCGCTGTCTCCAACTAGGATTGTCTGCAAGGATCAGATAAAGAGGCATCAGTGCAGGTGCAGGTGAAGGGGGAGTGAGGGGCACACACTTGGGTAGGTGTGCTGGGGGGATGTGGCAGCAAATGCAGCCGGATCAAGAAGGACCCACCCAGCCCCCAGATCTGTCACGTTTGGTTCTGCCACTTGTCTAGAGAGGAATTCCCACCCCTTTGTCCATCTCTGTAATTAATGAAATGTGCTATGGGATGAGCTTTAGGCCTGAAACACACTGTGCCCTGTCCAAGAGAGGAGAGATGGGAGGGAAAGTAAAGCACAGCCTGTCATGGAGAATGAGCAGGAGAGATGCTCCTACCCCAGCTTGGGAAGCTGTTGGGCAGTAGCAGCCTTGGCTCACACAGGCCTGTTGGAAAACCTCTATGGGAGGACTTTGGAGTCACTGGATTAAGTTCAAAACTATTTAGCAAAGATAGCATCTCCTGCAGCTGCTGCACACAGCTGCTGCCACAGCCAGGCAACCTTGCTGGGTCACTGGGCTGGCTTTGTGCTGCCTTAATGTTGTGGACTCACAGCATTCCCTGCTGCAAAACGACAGGTTTGAAGTCATGGAGTCCCTCTGCTTCTCCAGCCTCCACGGGAAGCCCCCGACCGCTCCCATCCCTGAGCAGAAGGGACAAGGGAGCCGTGCTGGTGTCAGAGCCATCACATCCTAAGCAGCTCCCACATGGAGCAGCTTCCTTGCCAGCCCACGGCCCTGGTACCCATGCCACATCCCTGGGGAGCTCATCTTCCCTTCTGCTCCTGCCCGTGTCCCTCAAAATCCCTGACCTAAGTGCAAACAGAACCCCTCCCTTAGGTCTGCTGGTATCTGGGTTTTGTTTGCAGAGCCACTGATAAACATTCCTATCCTTTGAGGAAACCGAAGCACTTTCAACCCTTTCACAGGACATGAGTTAAAATAAACACTCTGCTACCAGGCTTCTCGCTTAGAAGTGGTTTGGGCTTTGTCTTTCATGACAGGGGTGCTTCTGAAGCTGCAGTTCTGGCAAAGAGAGTGTCCCCTCTGTTACTGGTCCCCTATCACCTCTGAGGCTGCAGGGATGAGCCAGAAAGCTGCTGGGACTAAATCTCCCCACTCTCTGCATCCATCTGCTACACTCGGCTGCATCTGGTTTTCCCCTGCTTGGTTTGTGTTTTTGGAGCTCCAGCAGTCTTGCTCCATCCTGTGACACCTCAGTCCTTTATCTCCATCCTGAAGGTGCTTCAGTACCTCCCCAATATGCAGGGGAGCCTCCATGCACCTCCTGTCATGTCCCAAAGTGCCCTGGGGTGTGACCAACCCTGGCACCACTTCAGGCACTGCACTTCTCCTTGTAAAATGCAGGATGAGTGTGAAGGAATGTGTTTAATCAAATGCCTGAACAGACACAGCAGATCAAGGCCTGATTCTATACCCAGGGAGGACATGTGGGATTCACAGCACCTGGTATCATGGATCCTGCACCCCACAGATCCTAAAGAAGTGGGCTGAAACCAAAAGCCAAGGAGCTTAAGGACCACAAACAATGCAGGGATGTGGACTGGCAGGAAATTAGCATCCTGCCTTGCATAAAGCACCACCCCACAACCTGCCTGGAGCCTGTTCATGCCGATACACTTCAGTGAATGCTTGCCTCAGTGAATCAGCACTTGCCCGTGGAAAACACATCCCAAACACTGAACCTGTCCTGGGAAGAGCCTGACCTCCTGAGCAGAGCTGTTGGAAGGAGGGAGCCTTGCAACTCTGCCAGATACAGGCTGCTGCACAGACCTGTGTGCTGAGAGGCAGCAACCACTGTAGATCTGTGCCCAGATCCACAGCCAGAGATTTCTCCCTCCTCCCTGCCTGGGCAGTTTGCAGGTCACTTGTACATTCAGCGAAGCCTCGTGAGCTGGGAGCTTGCACAGGATCTGGGGGAATGTTGGGAGGCATAAATCTCTGGGCCAGAGGATCTGGGTCACCCCTTTCCTGGGGGAAATTTCCCTGCCTTGGCTCTTCCCTAGGGCCTAGACCTTTTCCCCGTGCAGAGAGAAGGATATGCACAGGAGCAGCTGGATACGGAAGCACTCTAAGAATTCATTACCAGGGGGCTCCTGCATCTCAGTGCTGTGTATTTTGGTGTTACATACTATTTCCAGGTCAAATACTGATGCTGGGATGTGCAACAAGACTGAGTGCACCCTGCAGTGCTGTCTTTGGGAGTAGTTAATGCAGAGAGCAGCATTAATTATGGAGGGAGAAGAGCTGGTTGGAATGAGCACCAGAAAGCCTCCAGAGCCCAGGGTTTACAGAGAACATGTATAAAAGGCAGATTCCTCTATTAATAATTTAAATGGGATTCATAATAGAGACAACTCATGAATTGCTTCATGACTTAGTAATAACAGTAAAATTTGTCCTGGATCAGCCAAGAGATTTTCCTAATGACTTTAGGAAAAGCTCATGGGTTCTGTGGAGGGACAGGACAGTGGAAATCCCTGTGGCCTTCCAGTTACCAAATAAACATTAAACAAGAACAAAAACCCCACTGTGGGGAAGATGTGGCTAGTTAGCCCTTGAAACCTCAGGCTGAACATGACTGAGTCATGATAGTAAAAATCTCCCAGCAACAAAGTTCTATAGTTGTCCTGACTCTTCCACCATCCTCAGCCACAGACTGACCTCTCCCACAACTTCTCAGACCCCCCTAGGTTTTTCCAGGTTTGTTTTTTATTGTTGATTTGTTTAGTTTGGTTTGGTTTGTTTTTTGTTTTTTTTGTTTTTGGTTGGTTGTTTTTTTACATGGGAAAC